CTATATATTATGTTTACCTTGCATGCAACATTGTTTGCGACCTAGCGAGCTTGCTTGCTTTCCGCGAGAAGCTCGAGAGATGTCGTTACTGAGGTCCTATTTTTTAGGTGCAATGTTTTCAAGAAAACTTATTCAAAGGTTTACGTCTGTTTGTCTGTGGATCAAAGTTATGGCGACACAACTTTTCCTATCAACCTAATGATATTTAGAAGAAGAAAATCGAACAAAACAACATTTGCATGCATACACCAAAAATGCACACACATTTACACTCCACTGAACTACTTTTCGCTCTACTGACTAAAACTACTTCTCCACACGAAAATAGCTACTCTAAACTTCTAGAACTCAACTCATCTCATTCAAACTAGATAGTTATATCCTTCATTGTGAGTAGAACTAGCCGCTAATATCACACAACATATAAACTATAAAAGAGGGGGGGGGGGAGGATTACGCCGTCCAATCAGAGAGAGTGAGTTACAGTAGTCCTACGGTAGAAGTAGAGGGTTTTATAGCGAGTTGTAAGGTGCAATTACCTAGGAATAATGAGGTACACAATTTCACCCACCCCCCGAACTGTGAATCCAATTATGATATTATAGCCAGATATTATAATTTTAGTAGGGAGGAGGAATACAATCAGATCAGTGTGTGGTTTCCGTCTACTAACAGCTCTTGTGGCGAATGATCCGGTACAGGATAAATCCAAATTGCACGGTATAGGATTTAAAAAAAAAACATAATTTCAATGATGCGGTAGTAGAGAGGATGAGGATGAAACAAGCAAACCAATCGATGATGTACTGAGGCGGAGGAGACGACAGGTGGAACTAATGCTAAGGTTAAGGTGTGTGGATGAAAAGGCAGTTGAATTTTGAACATTTGATGGCCGAAAGGTTTTTTTTAATTTCCCAAAAGAGTATCGTGATTGCGATCACGACAATCTTCTTGGTCAGTGATAATTTTGAATCCTGCCAAAGTTTTTTTTTCTGATATGAAACTGATGGTAGGGTGAAGGTGGTGCGTTTTGCGTTAAATTTAAAGAATCACAACAAAAGCCATCTAGCAGAGCGGTCAGGGATCTGCGTTTTTGCAACTAACTCGTTTCCGCAAGCAATCGGAACTTGCACAAACCCAGGAGACGAACTTAAATAAAACGATTATCTTATACTTCTCTTCATTAGCGCACCACGACACAAGAAGGTTGGGAAATTTTGAAAATACAAAGCCTTTTTTTCCACTGTACCTTACCATCCACCAGCAGATGGGAATTGTTGCATTTGTGTACACCGGCAATGGCAGAGGAACCCGAGCGGCCAGAGTTCAGCAGGCTCGGGTTCAGAATCAGATCAGTGACATGTTCGATTGCTTGCTCGAGATCGATCAGACTGAGCAGGGAAAGATCGGGATTTTCGTCGGGCGTTGTCGTTCCCAGGATCAGGTCATCCGTCGTCGTCGTCGACGACTGCGGCGGCGGCGGCGACGGGTTGTTAGTAGTGGTGGGAATGGTGTTAGTGAAAGGATTAGTACCGGTACCTAGATCACCACGAATGTTGTCGCGATTCAGATTATTGTTTCGGCGGAATGCCCCCGAAAGTGGTGGGAGCTCAGTGGAAGGTAAGGGATTCGTTGGCATTTTCCGACCGATCAACGCCAGATACGGTTCATTGTATCTCAGATTCTTCACAGAGTTTCCCAGCAAGATTTGAGCGATTTGGTTTGTTTGATTTGAGAGTAGGAGAAACGAAAAAGAGAAAGTAGAGAACACAAGTTAAGGGGGTTTCAATCACTTGGATGGCCCGAGGCGATTCGAAAGGATCGGTTGAAGTAGAAAATTGGATGTACTTACGGTTGAATGCCTCCAGTACTTGACGAGTTCGTGAAGGTCCGAAGATGGCGCCAACAGGAGAAAATCTCGCCACTCGTCGTAGCTAATGTTGAGACTACCGTCGGTGTCCATCCTAAAATAAAAGGGGTACACGCATTTTAGAAATGATCTTCAACTAAATTTTCTATTCCACGTCACATCACCTCTTAAGTAGCTTCGCCGCCTCGCTGTTATCTATTTCGACGCCCAGCTCCTTGAAGGCCATGATCAGCTCGTCCAGATCGACCTTGCCGTCCTTGTTTCTGTCCAGGTGCGTAAACTGTAGCCGTAGATTTTTTTCGTGCTCCCGCACGTAATGAATAAACTCGGCCAGGCCGACATCTCCGCTTTGCGTTTGATCCGATTGCTTAAGAAATCGCTGAAAAAATAACGAATGTCCGTATTCCTGTTGTTGTTGTTGTTGTAGTAGTTGTTGTTGTTGTTGTTGTCGTTGTGGCCACGTTGGTTGGAGGTGATGATGATGTTGATGTTCATGCCATGCATTCAGTAATGACCCAATCACAGAAAGTGTGCCCCCGATGAGTGTATGGTTACAGAGCACACATGTTAGCAGAGTGGGGTGAGCACGTGTAAGTGTACAGTTGGTGGGCGTGATTGTTATGGTTATGGCAAAACAAAATGGAAAAGAATAAAACAAACGTAAAATCGTAAATATTAGCGAAATGTAATTATAATAGTAGTAAAATCAGTTTAAAAATTCAAATGGTATATTTATAAAAACGATCAGATCATCTCAATGTGGCTAAAATAAAAATTCGTACGATGTGATGAATACGACCATCTGACTGGTAATTTCGGTGCTGCCACCTATGTGTGGATCACATTGCTTACAAGTCGGAATTATACCGATTGCTTGCGTACAATCCTCCGCACAAGATTATTCGCTCGAAATGCTATAGGTCAAGGTCCAGTCCGGGATTGTCTGGAATAGCCATGGCTAAAGGGTGATACGGTCAAAATTTGGTCAATATCAACTTGACGTATTTCTTTCAATTTTGCATTTAAAAAACCTGAACACCCCTCATTTTGAAGGTGTGTGTGTGTAGAATGTTGCTCCTATTTTGATTTTGGAATTCACTCTTCAGTTGTCAAAATGCCGTCCAAGCAAGAAGAGCAGCGTATCAAAATTTTGCTCGCGCATCGCGAAAATTCGAGCTACTCGCACGCAAAGTTGGCAAAATCGCTAAAAGTTGCCAAATCAACCGTTACAAATGTAATTAAAATGTTTGGAGAACGTTTGTCGACAGCCAGGAAGTCTGGATCGGGGGGAAATCGAAAACCGGAAGCCGCTGAGACGACAAAGAGAGTTGCCGGTAGTTTCAAGCAAAACCCTAACCTCTCTCTCCGAGATGCCGCAAATAAGCTGGGTGTATCGTCTACAACCGTGCATCGAGCCAAAAAACGAGCCGGACTATCGACTTACAAGAAGGTAGTGACTCCAAATCGCGATGATAAACAAAATACGACGGCCAAAGCGCGATCCCGGAGGCTGTACACGACGATGCTGACGAAGTTTGACTGCGTGGTAATGGACGACGAAACCTACGTCAAAGCCGACTACAAGCAGCTTCCGGGACAGGAGTTTTATACGGCAAAAGGAAGGGGAAAGGTAGCAGATGTTTTCAAGCACATGAAACTGTCAAAGTTCGCAAAGAAATATCTGGTTTGGCAAGCCATCTGTACCTGTGGCTTGAAAAGCAGCATTTTCATAGCTTCCGGGACTGTCAACCAAGAAATTTACGTGAAAGAGTGTTTGAATAAACGTCTGCTGCCTTTCCTGAAGAAACACGGTTGTTCCGTACTGTTTTGGCCGGATTTGGCATCTTGCCATTACGGTAAAAAGGCCATGAAGTGGTACGCCGCCAACAACGTGCAGGTGGTTCCCAAGGACAAGAACCCTCCCAACACGCCAGAGCTCCGCCCAATTGAGAAATACTGGGCTATTGTCAAACGGAACCTAAAGAAGACCAGAAAAACTGCTAAGGGCGAGCAGCAGTTCAAGGCAAACTGGCTTTCTGCGGCGAAGAAGGTGGACAAGGTGGCTGTACAAAATCTGATGGCAGGGGTCAAGCGTAAGGCCCGGCAATTCGGATTTGGAAAAGCGGAAGCCTAACTGAATATTTTTCCTGAATTTTATACTAATTGAACTTGAAAAAGAAATTTAATTTGATTTTTTAAATAAACGATTTCACCGATTTACACGCGTTTTCCCTTGACCAAATTTTGACCGTATCACCCTTTATTTGCAGGTTTGCATATTTATTGTATTTCGACACTAAATTTATAAGCAATTCTTATACTCATCAATTGCACTTAAAATTGTCAAGTATACGCACTACTAACCCATGGCCATAAGGCACACCAAGTAAACAAGAGCAATTTGCACAGCATAGCCTCGAGGAACAATCTTGCTGGTGTTAATGAAAACCAAATTTATTGAGCGGGGAGAGCTGCATTTGCTCCGCCTCCCACAAACAGTTATTTGAACATGCATTTTGCATCCATCGCATGGAGCACATGTTAATAGAAGCAAGAAAAAAAAATCTCATCCAAATCTGAAAAGATACGCAATCAGTTCGGACGATCGAAGCTCAAGGTGAAGAAAGAACAACCGAAACTCGATAAGACACGGTCGTCGTTGGCACGACAGTGAAGAAAAAAGTTGTTTACACCAATCTGATTGATGTGTGGATCTACCAAACTACCTCGAAACTCACCACGCTGAGATGTGGTTCGAATAAAGATTTTTTGTGTGTCAAATGAAACACTTGGTTTGAAATTCTTTAGTTGATGTTGGCATCGAATCTAAATAAAGAAGCAAGCATTTATGCATCCACCGTGAGTTGAGTGTTGACTGTTTAAAAGTTCCGAAATTTTAAATATTGCATAAACCCAATAACTCAAACAATGACACACCAAACGAATGTTTAATGTGTTAGATTTATTCAATGAGTATCTCATAAACAATCTAAAAATTGTTTATAATCCATGCTAAACTTTAACTGAAATGGTTATGTAACTTTACATGAACGTTTGTGTGATAAAGTTTTAACCATATGTATTATGGTTCTTTGGAAGAGAACCTTACAAATAATGGGTTGTTAAGAACCATTACCTTTCAAAATAGTTGTTTTCTCCATACATTTTCGGAGAGAGACTATGCTAGAACCTTTTTACTTTTGATGGTTTGACAACTTTAATGATAATGGTAATGGTAGCCAGTAAGGTCCATTAATGGTTTTGTATTATCGGTCAACTTTACGTGGAATATATCGCGAATCAGGTAATCAGTAATTTACAGGCCACCAATTCGCGATATATCACACAAAAAGTTGATGGATGTTACAAAACCATCTATGAATCCTACCGACTACCATAACCATTGCCATTAGTGTTCTAAAATCATAAATAAAATGGTTCCAATATAATTCATTTCCCAAAAATGTATGGAGAAAACAAGAATTTGGAATGGTAATGGTTCTTAACAACCCATTATTTTTAAGGTTCACTTCCAAAAAAACCTTAATACATAAGGTTAAAACTGTATCACACAAACGTTCATGTAAAGTTCCATAACCATTTCAGTTAAAGTTTAGCAGGGATTATAAACAATTTTTAACCATTTTCGGTAAGGTCAAGTGCAATCCGCTTTCAAGATAATTTTGAGGAATTTTAGATTTCATGTACAGCCTGAGATAGTTTTGACTAGAATTTCAAGAAAACTATGGATTGAATTCAAAGTAAATTTTAATGAAAACTCATAGGAATTTCTAAGGAGCAGAACTCCTGTGACCTTCAGAGGAAAATTCCAACGGATTCTGAAGATAATTTCATGAAGTTTATGCTAGAAAACGCATCCGGAGTATAAGTCCTTGGACAATTTTGGAGAATACTTAGGGGGAGGGGGATGGGATGCTAAAAGGAGGATTACAATTAAATCTGAGAATAACTCCAGGAGATCTTCAAAGGAATTCGGAAAACAATTTCACGAGAATTGACCAAACAAATTATGAGGACACAGGGGAAATGTCTCTAATGTTGGCCTATGGATCTAATATTGGGCCCATCGCTAAAAATCTGCTATTTATCAATTTTATCAACGCGTCATTGGGACCGTACTAATGGATATTTTTGGTCGACATTGAAAATTTAGTCGATTGCTGAATTTATGTATGGGCCCAATTTAGGGGCATTTAGGCCGACATTGCATCCATTTCCTCTATCTAAGAAATTTATGAGGAGAAAATGCAAATGAATTCTCAGGAGACTTTCCATTTAAGTAGCATTCAAAAAAAATCTTAAAATGAATTCAATTAAAATTCTGAGAATCTTTCCAAAGGGGTTCTTGCTGAGGAGAATTTCAAGGTAATTCCGAGGAAAATTCAAAGAAATTTGAATTCGGAGGATAGTTCCAACGAAATTTTGAGGAATATTTCAATGGAATTACGAACAGTAATCTAAGTATATTCTGGTGATATTTTTTTAAAACATTCAGATAAGCGTTCCAAGTGAATTTCTAGAATAATAGGTGAAATTTTCTAAATAGCGACCAAAAATATCCATTAGTACAGTCCCAATGGCGCGTTCATCTAGATAAAATTGATAAATAGCAGATTTTCAGCGATGGGCCCAATATTAGATTCATAGGCCAACATTAGAGCCATTTCCCCTAGATAGTTAGTTTCCTTTATTGACGAGGCTTTCAGCCTTTGGCTGCTTCGCCACTGGAAAAGAGCTGTTGGGAAGCCAGAAGGATTCCCCATTAGTTACAGAGTAAACGGAAACGAAGTTTGGTATTAAGAGATCGCAGAAGATACAGAGTAGGGGAAATGGCTCTAATGTTGGCCTATGGATCTAAGATTGGGCCCATCGCTAAAAATCTGCTATTTATCAATTGTATCTAGATGAACGCGTCATTGGGACGGTACTAATGGATATTTTTGGTTGCTATTGAAAATTTAGTCGATTGCTGTATGGGCCCAAATTAGGGACACTTAGGCTGACATTACATACATTTCCCGTGGTTTCAACGGAATTGTTTTTTTCTCAGAGTTTCTTCATGCTGTCGATTGTCTGAAGGGTAAAGTAAAGTCGGTTCCGTTATAGTTGCGTTGGTCCTCATTTCCGGTCATACGGTGGTTTCTCTAGTTCCGTATCGTATTCCATGGATAGGCGGTACCCAACAAACATGGGATGCGGAAAAAGAGCCTATTCAGGCAAAAATATGCTTCTTCAGCTAAAAAATAGCTTATTCCGCCCTTAATCAGCACTAATTGTTTGTTGGGTAGTCGTTGTCTAAGTTGGAGGTTGTGATTCTGACCTTGGCACTACGATAATCGGGGTTTAAACTTGGTAGTAGAGTTCGGCTTCGTAAAGAAAACCAGTGAGGGCCGCTATCCTGGTGGGGTCGTTGGAGAGGGCGTTGTTTTCTGATATTGCATAGAAGTCACGTGGGCCCGGATGTTGCGGGCAGCAGCAAAACCAGGCATACCAAAAGTACCGCCTCATGACAGTATTCCAACGGCTGTCGCTTTCTTTTTCCTACGACAGCCTTGAGATTGAGTTATAAGCGACAGCCCACAGTGAGGCTTTTATACGACATGCAACGTTGCCGTCTTGTGCTGTTCACGACAGCTTGTTCTTAGTCATGTATTTTGTTCGTTCGGCTATGACAGCCTCGGATGGTCATTCGTAACTTTCCTCGTACATACAACAAGCAGTCCGTCAAACTGCCGATTCGTTGCTGCTGTCTTTGAAATTTTGTTTGTATGTCGTAAAACTGCTACTACACTACCAGTGTGGCGCCGGAGCTCGTTCGGTTGCTATCACGTTCGTGCTGCCCATTGCAGAATTTTCATCCGATATTTTTTTTTAAACGCACTGTCTCCGGCGAAAAATATAAGCCTACCCGACACCAACTTGACTTCTACCAAACCCCAACCCGATGTTGGGCCGACATTGACCTGACATAAACACAGAATTGCCCCGACATCGACCCGACATTTGGACGACGTCGACCATAAAATGACCTTACATTGATCCGACATCGGGCCGACATATCTGTTCGGGATCATTCTTCTGGGTTTCTTCCATACTCCACTGCCGTATATCAATTGTATATAACGTCTCGTGACAGCCTTTTCGTGACAGCCACTTGGGTAAGCTGAGGGATGTCGTCGGTTTGTGAAGGCTGTTATGACGACAGAAACATTGAGAACCTGGTCATAAAGAAATGCATAAATACAGCCCATTCGGTTCACTACGTTCCAAGCACGATGATTTTAGCAAAGCGGGTATAGATGCGACTGTTCTAATACAGCTTTCATTCGTTCATGCGTGTGCTGTTACCAATACACTTCGAATTCAGATCTGAACGTACGGTAGCAAGCGGTAGTAAAGCACACAAAGCAACAGTCAATTCAGGTATAAACCAACTGTCGCGAGGAGGCTGTACTTTTTGGAAGCCTGAGCAAAACACGTGTTCCACTGAGTGGGGAACCTGACAGGTTTCACAGATTGATTCTAGAATAACTCCATGAGAGTTTCGGGAGAATACAAAGCGAATGCTGAGGAACACACCAAGTGAATTTTCATGAGAAATCTTCGTTGAATATGGAATGGACTATTCTGACGTCTTCAGACCTGCTTGAAAGTTCCCAAAATTTTTCTGAAGATAATGAAACTGGCTTGAAGTTCTTTTGTAGTTTGAGAAACTAACCTAATTCTCATCAAATTTGTAAACTTTCCTGAACTTTTTCGCTTTTTTTAAAGTTTCCACAATTTTCTTACCAATCATGGATCTTCAATAAAATTTTCACAGTTCGCTGAAGTTCTCGAAACTTTTTTTAAATTCATGTGATTTATCTAATGTTAACGGAACTGCTCTTAGATTTTCTGTTCTTTCTCTATAGTTTTTGCTGTTCGCATGAAGATTGTTGTACTGCCCTGAACTTAATTGAGCTGTCTTAAAAATTAAGCGTTCGAGAGCTTCTGAACTTGTCTTTAACATAAATTAAGCTCCTAAAATTTTCTTGGAATCAACACGAAATAGTTAGTATAGTTCTATGATTTGAACTGAAGTTCTCATGATTTGGAACAGGGTTGTTAATCGATAACTCGATAACGTCTTTTCGTTAGCGTCCGCAATGGGAAATGCGCGTATCAGGCGTTAACGAAAAGACGTTATTTGGAACTTCCCTAATTCATAACTTTTTAAATAGTTTAGACTGCACAAAAAATTTCTGAATTTCCTCTAGACTGCATTATATTTCTCAGTTTTTTTCATAATAATTTGACTGAAATTTATTGAATTGCATTGAAGTTTCCACAATTTTCCATAAGTTTTATAAACTATATAAAAGCTCACGGAACTTTACTTTAAATCACTAATTTTTAATCTCTACCGAGGGGGCAGCAGAATCACAAAATTACCTTGCGTACGGGGGGTACTCATTAGATGAAAGGGTCCGTGAAAGAGGACACTAAAATAGAAAGTTTTTCTTCCGACAGTTTCATCTTAGTATTCTTCTTTGAGTTTACTGCGCTTACCCTAAGTTGTCTAAAATTGTTTAATGTTTCGGCATATTATCTGATACATATTCATAATTCCCTGATGATTCTGAAGTTTTCAGATCAATCATCAATTGTTGGAATATCCCATAATTCCACGGAACTTCTTGTATCTTGTAATCGTTCTGAAATTATCTGGTCGTCTTCGAAGTACTGGGAACTTCGCTGCATATCATGAAACTATCTTAAAATATCTCAATTTCTTAGAAGTTCTCTAGAATATGTTGAAGATATCGGTGCTTGCTAAAAGTTCCCATATGTTTATTATTATTGGAGCTTCGTTAACGTTCTCTAATCAACTGCAAAGCTAAATTTTTGCAATGTTTTGAAGTCCTTGAAATTTCCATGACATCACACCCTTAAAATACTCTCACATTTTCCGGCTGTTCATATAATTTTAATTGTGTTCCAAAAATGTTTTCGGAGTTTCGCTGAAGTTTCCGGAAATTTCCAGAGTTTCTCTAAGTTTCTCAAAGGTTTCTGCAATTTCCTTGAAATTATTTCAACTGCCCTTTGATTCTCTGATCTTGTTTGATGAGGCGTCGCCCTAACCTCAATCTACCTGTTCAATAACTCTCAAAACTAAAACGAATAAAAAAATA